GGTATGTGTATGTGCGTGTGTGTGAACTTGTTGTAGAACTTGTTCATTTGTTTGCATGCAGTTTTGTAGCTTTTGCGCGCTGAGTAGGCGGTTTAGGCACTTGTGTATAATTATGTCTTTAAGTGTTTGCTTGGTCGGCTAGATAACACGGTAGCTTCATTCATTGAAACAAGCATGCATACATACATATATACATACATACATACATACATACATACATACATACATACATACATACATACATACATACATACATACATACATACATACATACATACATACATACATACATACATACATACATACATACATACATACATACATACATACATACATACATACATACATACATACATACATACATAACTTATCACCCAAAGGCTAAATATCATCAATAAACATGATGCAATGGTCCTTCTATTACAAGCTGCTTTTTTGCCTCGTCTTGTTTATTTTTTGAGAACATCCCCTCTGTTGGATGTTTCGATCCTCAATAGTTTTGACGATCACCTCCGTGACGCATTCCAGTCCATCTTCAACATAGAACTCGATCAAAAAAATTGGTTGCAGGGGACGCTGCCTATATGTGTTGGTGGCCTGGGTTTGGGTTCCGCGGCTGAGCTGGCACCTTTTGCCTTTTTGGCTTCTGCTGCTGCCACGGTGGCCCTCCAGGATTTGATGTTGCCGAGGGATGGGATTTATGTCGATAACTTCAGAATGCAAGTATACGACATGTGGCGCGCCACCAACGGAGATGTGGTTGCGCTCGAAAACCCCTCGCAAAAACACTGGATCGCCCCCTGTCTTAATAGATCAGTTGATCGATGGCTGCAACTGAATGGCTCTACTTTTGACAAGGCTAGAATTATGGCTGTCAAAAGTGAGTTGGGCTCCGCCTGGTTGAGAGCGCTACCCAACACCTCCTGCGGCACTAGATTGGATGACTCCTGTGTTCGCGTGAGCCTTGGTTTGAGACTCGGAGCCCAGATCGTCACCGAATACGAATGCGCATGTGGGGCAAGGGTTGATGAACTTGGATACCATAGCCTTTCTTGTCGTCTGGGTCCTGGAAGGCAAGCCAGACATACGGCTGTCAACGAATACCTGGTACGATGTTTTCAAAAGGCTGGTATCCCGGTTATAAAAGAACCCATGGGTTTAATAGAGGAAGGAGCCTTTAGGCCAGATGGTTACACTATCACTCCATGGGCTCAGGGACGGTCCCTGGCTTGGGACGTTACCTTACCCCACACTATGGCTGACCGATATATCGTCTACACTTCAGTTGAGGTGGGCACTGCTGCCCTTAAAGCGTCCGATTTCAAAAATGAAAAATACGTTTCATTAAACAATTTAAGCAAAATATTTCAACCCATTTGCATTGAAACGTTCGGTCCAACAGATAAGCACACATCATTATTTATTAACGAATTA